CAATACTTACTTGTCATAAAGATTTCAAAATCATTATTATTATAAATGTTGTAAATCAAAAAAACAATGAATGTAGTGAAGAATATTTTTAATTTGTTACTTTATTCGGCCATTAAAATAGTAATAATCTTTATAAAAACCTTTAAACTCATTCAAGGATAAGTTAAATTAATTATTTTACTAAAAACAAAAGTAATTCAAGGATAAACACAATTCTTACATGTCTAATTGCTATCATTTCCTTCTTTTTCTTTATTCGAAAAGACTTTCTTCTTTAAGAAAAGGCAGACGATAAAAATGACGTCAAATTTCCAGCAGACGATAAAAGGCGGGAAAAAATTAATTATAATTAACCGACATAATCAATTTTCTANAAAACCCAGAACACTGCATGGTAGCCAGCCCATTGGTCAGGCACGAACCAATGATCAACTACCAGTGTTCAACGGTTTTATTTATTCGGCCACTAGTGGGCTTGATTTGTGTCAATGTATGAAGACTTGGGACACCCTGCATATAATAAAGTATTTTATGTGTAATATAATATATAAAAATAGTATTTTATGTATTATAGAACAATTGTACACCCACATCATAATAAATGTTGTTAAATATATTAAATTGCTCTAGTTTTTTTATATAAATATATCAATACTTACTTGTCATAAAGATTTCAAAATCATCATTATTATAAATGTTGTAAATCAAAAAAACAATGAATGTAGTGAAGAATATTTTTAATTTGTTACTTTATTCGGCCATTAAAATAGTAATAATCTTTATAAAAACCTTTAAACTCATTCAAGGATAAGTTAAATTAATTATTTTACTAAAAACAAAAGTAATTCAAGGATAAACACAATTCTTACATGTCTAATTGCTATCATTTCCTTCTTTTTCTTTATTCGAAAAGACTTTCTTCTTTAAGAAAAGGCAGACGATAAAAATGACGTCAAATTTCCAGCAGACGATAAAAGGCGGGAAAAAATTAATTATAATTAACCGACATAATCAATTTTCTAACAAATTTCAATTTATTATTTTTACACACAAATTTAAATTTATTAAAATTAAAAAATCTATTTAAATAACATTTGTTTGTTTATTTAAAAAAATTTTGTAATGTTTGATGACGTAATAAACATGACACATTATTTTTATACGTATCCGATGACTTCATAGTAAAATTTCTTGTTATTTATTAACCTATAAATAATAAAGTGAATATAACGTATTAATGTATAAAAAGTCTTTGAATACATTAATTAATTAATTCACGTATAAAAATTTTTATATAAAATTACAAATTTTTTAATTGATTAAATATGTATTTCTATCGTATCAATTTTAAAAAATTTATTTCTTTAGATATTTTAATAATAATTCAAGTAATTCAAATATATTCACATAGTCTATTTATTTATTTATTTAATTTTATTTTGGTATTGAAATATTTTATTACATTATATAGGAAATAAATAAATATGTTTTCATTTTTTTTCTGTGTTCTGGATTTCTGTAATATTAAATAATTTATATCAATAAGTAGATAAAATTAATATATTAGTACAGTATAAACAATATATACGTGTTTATGTATTCATATACAGTATAATAAATAGTTTAAATTATTTTTAATTTTTTTAAATTTATGAAATCAAATTTATTTCGTCGAAAATATTAACGTAATAATTGTAGTTATCGGAAAGTTTCCTACAATTAAAAAACAAAAGCTAATTTATAGCGAAAATAAAGAAATAAGCAAAAAAAAACGAAAAAACTACTTTGTCCCTCTGTCGGCAACTTTTCGTACCATATTAAAAAAATTGTATAACTTAAGTTTTAGTTAAAAAATACAAAATTTAAATAAATAATTTCATTTTAATAATTTTATATTTCATAAATAATATCGATATAATTTTAAATCGATGTAATAATTTTTTATTATTTATATAATTGCAAAAATATTTCGTTTTTATCCAAATATTTACCGAATTAAATCGTTTTTATTTCGTTTGTAATAAAATAATTAATAATTAAGACGTTTTTGTCGGTTATTAATCTAATTTTATTCTAGATAAACATTTTATAGTTTAACAGATCATTTCGTCAAATCAATGTCCTTTATTACAGCTTAAATCTTTTCGACGTATCGTTGCTGTTATGTCACGTGATTAGTGCAACAATTCAAGATGGCAGCTGTGTGACGGTTTGATCTGCGGCTTCTTTGCTGCATTGGACTTCATTTCGTGCCAAATCAACATAGGATAATAATTGTACAAGGTCAGAAATGGATAGTAAAGACTATGATCACACTAGAAATCTAACATTAATGTTCTTTTTAGATCGTTTAATCGATAAAGGGCAACCTAGGACATTACACGATTTATCCTGTCAGTTTGGTACTAAAGGATTTACCAAAGAAATGAGACAGATCGCCGGTGGTAGCCAGGCTGGTCTTAAAAAGTTCCTTTCCCAATATCCTTCCCTGTTTACTATAGATGGTGATCAAGTGACTGTAACCTGTTATACTTCATCCAGTAATGACCCGAGTGGGAAGAAGGGGAAGAGAGATTATGCCTTAGAAGCAGTCGAATATTTTACTAATAAGTTAGAACAATACGGTAATGCTGAAGTGCCAATAAAAAGTTTACTTGGTCATAGATCTCAAGCTACGCCCGAAATAAGACACATTTCGGGCCAGCATGTGAAGGAATTCAAAGATTTCTTACTCAGATTTCCGGATGTGTTTGTCGTAAAAGATGATTACGTTGTCCTGAAAAATGTACTCGATAACCTAGACGGCGAAGAAAAAGTTAACATTACTAAAGTACCTGAAGAAGAGCCGCTGGATCCACAGTTAACGAATGAACTCATGACATTTTTTGAGAATGTTATAAGAATGAGAGGACCTTTACCTGTTGGTCAGTTATTTGCTCATTTGAGTGCAAGGTATCCGAAGGAAATGTGGTCTATTATGGTAAAAAATTCTCAAGATCTAATTGCATTCTTGAAGATGAATTCTCAGATATTTCATGTACAGTCAAACGTCGTATCTTTAACTCCGGAACGACAACAGGCGCTGATGGTGTCTTCGAATAATGCGACTAGTGTAATGTCGACTGCTCCTACGACTGCTTCCTCTTCGGCTCAATCTTCCCCTTCTAGTGGCAGCGGTCGTTACTCCGATAAATCGCAGACATTTCAGCAGAGGTTAAAAACCCAAATTATGAAAGCTGTAGCTGATAATTCTGCTTTAGATTATAAAGAAAGAATGTCTTTTGGGCCGACTAGCCATTGCTTTAGAGAAACTTCCAATGACAATTTATTTACAAAAGTAATGAAAACTGTTAAAATTATTACAAAAGTTAAAGAATGTAGCACTGTTGTAAAACAGCTGATGTCTTCGCCCGAATATTCCGTGATTTCTCTAGACGGCGAAGGAGTAAATTTAGGTCCGTCGGGACCCATTACTCTCTTACAAATTGCCACTGAAAATGAAGATATTTTTTTATTTGATCTCCTTTCTTGCCCACAGATGATGGTGGAAGGTAATTTGCGAGATGTTTTAGAATCCAAAACAATTACAAAGGTAAATTCAATTATTTATCTGTGTAAATAAGCAATAAATTACTAGAATAATAAAGACTTTCATTATAAGTGAGAGAAATATGTAAAATATTTATAGTGAATAATAATGGGTGTATGCAATATGTGAAAAGAATATTTATATCATTTTTTTAGGATAAATAAATTTATAATATTAAGAGTTAAATATAGTATAGGCTCTATGTATAATTTAAGTATTTGTATTTTGCTTGATTACAAATATGTTCAGCTTCAACATTGGATATATAATACAGGATCTATATATTACAGGATCCTTCTGGCAAGATCTTATGATTCCATTCAGTTTCTTACAATTTCAAGAAACTGAATTTTTAAAAAGAATTAAAGAATTGTTTGGAATGAAAATAAAATTTATACAAATATCATTTTTATATGAAATTAAATTGTTTTACAGATAACAACAGTTTTCAATTACATTACTGTTTGTTCAATCATCACATTTGATTTGTTGGTGCTAAGGTATTTTACTACAGTTTTGTCTTTTTCCATTTTATATTATGTATTTCCATAACATGCTTTGTTTCATGTTAAATATAGGCTATTTATTATTATTTATTTTATAAAGAATAAAGTATATTTAATTAAAAATGTAATAGTATAATTATCAAATTTTTAAATTATTAATATGAGGTATAGAATTCTTTAAGATAAGTTTTTTTGATATTTTTGAGTAATGAATTTTTGTGAATGCTTATCTAGTATATTGGAGCATTTGCTCATCTTGCATAAATCTTAGCTAGGTGGTCAACAAGAGCAACTTGCATTGTATTTACTAGATATATTGTTTTTAATTTTGAACAATTAAAAATTAATTGCAATAAATTCAGAAATAAAGTTAAAATACTAATATTGAAAATTATTTGAATTTTTCATAATTATTTTGAAATTATCAATATATTCTTTTATTTTTTTTCAGTCGTGTACAGTGAACTGCATTTTCTCTAAGATTTGTAGAGTTGCAATAGTTTTTCCATTTTAATAATTGCATGTCATTTGTATTAATTCTTACTAATAATGATAATTATATAAATCTATTACAAAATTTATTGGTTTTATTTGTTTTTCATTTTGCTTTACACATGTTTGTACTTTAATTAAGTGCAGTTAACAGAATTATATGAAAAAAAAAAGAGAAAATTTGATTGAGAAGCAAGAAGCAAAATGAATCATTTGCAAAGTTGTAATAAAATCTTTTAATAATAGATATATGAATATTAAAATAGTTTGGTTGATTTCATCTTTTTCAATAGAAAAATAAACACAGATTAGTGTCTTCTCTTTGTTGTATAGAATTATAATGATCTTAGTTTGAAAATTTGTTTTGAAAATTGAAATTTAGCAAAATTAAATTGTAAGAATGTATATATAGTATATATATAAACATTTACCTTATATATATCTTAGCAGCTATATATATA